ATCTACTTGCAAATTTCACTTACTGTCAAATATTATTTGCCCAAAGAATACTTACTGGACATCTGCTTTGTGCCCTTGAATGAGATGCTCTATTTTATCCAACAAATAAATATCCAAAATGTATTAGATGGCTTTGCCTAGTAAAGGATACTAGTATACCTATGTCTTGCTTTTTGACCTTGTGAAGACACCTTGACGGGAGCCTTGTTTAGGGCCTGACTTACCAAAATGTACCTGACTCAGTGAGAAGAACATATCAAGAGCTTTATCTCCAGGAGGACCTATGAAAAGGAGAAATTGGCATCAGGAAAGCAGATGGTTTGAGAAATCATCCTTGAATCTGCTTTGATACTCCTGATTATGCTCAGGGTCCAGATCCCTGAACATTTTCCATTCTTCAGTTCTCTTTTATAGGTCTGACAACTTCATTTTTGAACACTTAACAATAGAAAATCTGAGTTGGTCTGGTGGTTAAGAAAAGTAGATCCTCCATGGCCAAATATGTGGTTCTTTCCAGAGCTGACAGATGGGAAAACATGTATGTGTCCCCAAAATTCCAACTGGAGGGAGAAATAGAGAAGAGATTGCAGTATGACCATACCACAGTGAGAGATAGTGAATGGATGTTTATTTCACTGGATAAGTTTTGCCAATTACAATCTCTTGCTGAAAATCAGCACATAGATCTAGAGTTTTTTAAGTATCTGCTTTGAGATTTACTGGCTCCCCGTGGGGCAGAGTCAAGCTTACAGATGTTAGAAGCTAGCTAGGGATGGTGAGAGATATCAACATTGTTAACAGCCATCACTCAAATGGTAGGCCAGATTAAAGTGTTACTATATATATAGCTGTGACTGATAACCATAGTGTTTGATTATGAGTAATTTAAGACATTTCTTAGAACTTCCAAGTAGACTTTTTGGCTGGAGCAATACCTTTATAAGTCTTCTCCCATATGCAAAAAAAGGTTTATCTTCTCTTCAAAAATAACCTGATAAGGCAAAGGCTACTCTCTCACTGAATGTAGCAAAATTTCTACCACATAGAGAACACTGGATAACTTTTGCATAAATCACTGTTTTTTTTTTAAATTTTTTTTTAACAAAACTTGAGTATTGAGGATCCCTTACAAATACAGTATTATCTGTTTATACCATTCTACTCAATAGAACCCTTGAACTTGAGCTGTTTTGTTTTGTAAATGAGTTGCAGGTGTGCTTTCTTATTTTTCCAGTTTTAATGTTATTGTTAATTTCGTGCAGAGTGCCATAAAGAAAACTCACTTCCTTATTTTTTAAAAGTATTTTTTGTGTGTGACAAGGACAGCTGAAATTTACTTATTCAACAAAAATTCTGAATAAAAAAATACAATTTTAGTAACTTTAGTCCTCATTTGTACATTAGATCTTTAATTTTGTTTATCCTGCATGTCTGCTATTTTGTATCTTTTGATCTACTTCTCTCCACTTTCTGTCTCTTCCAACCTCATCCATGGTAACCACTGCTTTTTTCTATACTTCTGTATATTCAAACTCTCTCTTGCTCTCTCCTTTTATATTCCACATATAAGTGGGATTATGTTATATTTTTCTTTCTCTGTCTGGCTTATTCATTTTCATAATGTCCTCTAGGTCTACACATGCGGTGAAATGACAGGATCTTCTTTTTTAAGGCTAATCTTCTGCTCAATATAAATACCCATTTATCTTTATTCATTAATTTATCGATGGACATTTAGGTTGTTTCCACATCTTAGATGTTGTGAATTATGCTGCAATAAAAATGGCACTGCAAATATCATTAATAGGTGACAGTTTCACTTGTTTAGGGTATATACCCAGAAAAGGGATTGCTGTATCATATGGTAGTTTCAGTTGTCATGTTTTTAGGAATCTTTACACTGTTTCCAGTAATGGCTATACTAATCTACATTCTCACCAACAGTGTACTAGAATTCCCTTTTTCCATATCCTTGCCAACATTGATTTTCTTTTCTTTTCAATAGTCATTAACATTGTGTTAGGTGATCTCTCAAAGTGATTGTAATTTGCATTTCCTGTTGATTAGTTATGTTGAGTACATTTTCATATACTTATCTGCTATTTTGATGTCTCCTTTGGAGAAATGTCTGTTCAGGCCCTTTGCCCAGTTTGAAATATTTTATTTTTCTGCTATTGAGTTGTAATAATTCTTTGTAAATTTTGAATATGAACCCTTTTTAGATATGTGGTTTGCAAATGCTTTTTCCTAGTATGTAGATTGCCTTTGCATTTAGTTTGCTTTCTTTCTTTCTTTCTTTCTTTCTTTCTTTCTTTCTTTCTTTCTTTCTTTCTTTCTTTCTTTTTTGTGCGGAAGCTTTTCAGTTTAATGTAGTCACATTTTTTTATTTTTGCTTTTGTTGCTTGCACTTTTTGTGTGATATTCAAAATGCATTGTCAAGGACAACATCAAGGAGATTTTCTCCTTTTTTGCTTTTATGAATTTTATGATTTCAGGCCTTACACTTAGATCTTTTACTCATTCTGAATTGTTTTATGTATATAGCATGAAATAAGGGTTCAGTTTTATTCTTTGCATATGGAAATTCAGTTTTTGCAGCTCATTTGTTGAAGAAACAACCTTTCCTGAATTTTGTTCTCTTGATGCCCTTTTTGAAAGTTAATTGGTCTTATACATTTGGATTCATTTCTGGGTATTTCATTCTATTTTAATTTGGTCTATGTTTCTGTTTTTAATGCCAGTATTGTATAGCTTTGATTACCATAGCTTTGAAATACAAGTCAGGAAGTGTGAAGCTTTCAACTTTGGTTTTCTTTGTCAGTACTGCTTTGGCTATTCAGGTTTCATGGTTCCATACAATTTTCAGGGTTTGTGTGTGTGTGTGTGAGTGTGTGTGTGTGTGTGTAAGTGTACGTCTTTTATTTATTTTTTTTCTATTTATATTCCATTGGGATTTTGTAGGAATTTTCCATGACTTGCATGTGTCTGCAAAAATTTCATGTGTTGAATTTCATGTGATGGGACTAAGATAGTAAAATTTAATCTGAGTATGGTATTGACAGTGGGACCTTTGGAAGGAGATGAGAATTAAGGTCATCAAGGTGGATCTCCATGACTGAAACTTGGTGGGTTTATAAGGAGAGGAACAAGACAGATACATATGGACACAGTTATATGTGTATTGTTCTCCACCATTTTGTAATGTAGCCAGAATACCTTCATCAGACATGGTTCCTGGATCTTTGGTCATCAAACCATGAGCTGAATAAACTTCTATTTTTACAAATTACTGAGACTTATATATTTTCTCTCTTTTTATCAATAGAATGGACTAGAACAGAATTGCATTAAATATGTATGTAGCATAAACATTTTTAACAATATTAACTTTTCCTATCCATGAACATGGCATATATTTCTATTTGTGTAGGCATAGTTTTTCTTTCTTTCTTTTTTTTTTTTTTTCTTTTGGAGAGGTTTTTGCTATAGGGCGCGTGTGCTCACCAGACACACAGGGAGAGACAGAGAGACAGAAAGCGAGAAATCACCCCCCGGGGGGATGGCCGCGCCGCAATCCCTTCTCCTCCATTCTCCTCTCGAGATCTTGGGCACACACGCACAGGTGCCCGGCGTGAGTTTAAGCCACTAGATCTGGGACTTGAACCATGGTAGACTACGTGGGAGTCCAGTGACATAGTCATTACGCTAACTGCTGGTCCCTAGGCATAGTTCTTCTTAATAGCTTGTTACACAGCAATTAGATGAAGAACACAGTTGTACCAGGAAGATATACATTAAGCAGTCAGCAGTTGGCAGTTTTCTCACCCATGAACTGAGGAATGTTATTGGGTTAAGAAGTTTGCGAGATGAAAAGGTAAAAATTTTTCTCTTTTCTTATACATAGTTCTAAGAACATTAGAGTCTGGCTTAAATTTGTGAATACAATGAAAATGAGAATAATATTTTTCAAAGGACCGAAGATTTAGTATAAGAGAGCCCTACGTGAAAATCTTAGTTTATCCTCAAGCAAACTATTTAAATTTTCTGAGTCTCAAGTTCTCCCTTAAGAAAATTGAGATAAAAATACCTGATCTTATAGAGTTTTTGGAATTAGTACTAACTCTAATATACTACCTATTATAGTCAAGGCCAGTGTTCCTCAAAATGTGAGCCTTGGATCAGTAGCACTTCCCTCTTGCCACATATGCCCCTGTCATCTCTGTTGAGAAAACCTACCATGAACAGCTTTCTGTAGCATAGAACATAAGTGCTTGCTTTGAGCCTGCTTGTCATTACCTGCCAGTTTAAATCTTTGTCATTACCTGCCAGTTTGTTAGAAAAGTACACTTTTTGCCTTCCTTCCAACCCTTCCAAGACCTGATGAAAGAGTAACTCTGTGACCCAGCAGCCTAGTTTAACAAGTTCTCCAGACAATGGTATTGTAGGTAACGTTTTAAAATTATGACATAGGCTTCCAAAAATGATTGTTAAAATGAATAATGAGGAGACAGTATTCAAAATGTTAAGTCAACATAAGAAGTCAGAAATCAGGATTTAGTACTTAGAAGGAGTTTTAAAAAAAAAAACAGGAATGATCAGTTAAGATACACCCCAAATGGAGCATAGTGGAGCATAGACTGAGGGTATAGTTGAGTGTTCTTTGTAGGACAATATCCTAAGCCTCAATCAGGATTATGGGTCAATTTACAAGCACTTTGTTCCCCTTGTTTTAGCCTCAGCTGAAGCCTCTTATTTGATTGCTCTCAAATCCAGAATCTTGTGGAATCCTATATTCCCCAAATAGGTGATATTTGGAATTAAATTTGAAGTAACTGGAATTTAAACATAGAGTTTTGCAATGTATTAAGTTCCTACACTTCTATTTAAACTAATGCAAAAGGCAGGGTCTCTTACATCAACTGCCTAAGAATTAGGCTATAAAAAGCAATAGTTGCTCCTCTTGTCTCTGCCATCTCTTCCACAGCAGTGAAGTAGCAATCATGCGTGAGTGCATCTCCATTTACATTGGCCAGGCTGATGTCCATATTGGGAATGCCTGCCGAGAGCTCTACTGCTTGGAATATGGCATCCAGCCTAATGGCCAGATGCCAAGTGACAAGAACATCAAGGGACGAGATGACTTCTTAAACACCTTCTTCAGTGAGATGGGAGCCAGCAAACATGTACCTATGTCTGTGTTTGTAGACTTGGAACCCACAGTCATTGATGAAGTTCGCACTGTCACCTACCCTCAGGTCTTCCACCCTTAGCAGCTCATCATAGGCAAGGAAGATGCTCCCAATAACTATGCCTGTGAGCACTACACCATTGGCAAGGAGATCATTTACCTTGTGAACCAAATTTGCAAGCTGGCTGACCAGTGCACAGGTCTGCAAGGATTACTGGTTTTCCACAGCCTTTGTAAGGGAACTGGTTCTGGATTCACCTCCCTACTGATGAAATGGCTCTCAGTGGGTTGTGGCAAGAAGTTCAAGCTGGAGTTCTCCATCTATCCAGCCCCCCCCAGGTTTCCATAGCTGTAGTTGAGGCATAGAACCACATTATCACCACCCACACCACCTTGGAGCACTCTGACTGTGCCTTCATGGTAGACAATGAGGCCATCTATGATATCTGTTGTAGAAACCTTGATGCCCAATCTACAGTGACATGAATAGGTCAATAGGTCAGATGTATCCTTTATCTCTTCTTTCCTCAAATTTGATGGAGCCCTGAATATTGATCTGACAGAATTCCAGACCAAACTGGTACCCTATCCTGCATTTACTTCCCTCTGGCCACATATGCCCCTGTCATCTCTATTGAGAAAGCCTACCATGAACAGCTTTCTGTAGCATAGAACATAAATGCTTGCTTTGAGCCTGCTAACCAGATGATAAAATGTGACCCTTGCCATGGTAAATACATGGCTTGCTGCCTATTATACCATGGTGATGTGGTTCCTAAAGATGTCAATGCTTCCATTGCCATTATAAAGACCAAGTGCACCATCTAGTTTGTGGACTGGTGCCTTACTGATTTCAAGGTTAGCATTAATTACGAGCCTCACCACTGTGGTGCCTAGCGGAGACAGGGCAAGGTGCAGCAAGCTGTGTGCATGCTGAACAACCCCATAGCCATTGCTGAGGCTGTGCTCACCGGGACCACAAGTTTGACCTGATGTATGCCAACTGTGCCTTTGTTCAGTGGTACGTAGTGAAGAAGGAAAGTTTTCTGAGGCCCAAGAGGACATGGTTACCCTTGAGAAGGATTATGAGGAGGTTGGTGTGGATTCTGTTGAAGGAAAGGGTGAGAAAGAAGGGGAGGAATACTAACGTTAAAATGTCACAAAGGTGTGATTCTTTCAGTTATTCTGTTTTAAACACTGAAAAGTCCTAGTCTGATCAGTTAATCTGTATGTAGCAGCGTATGCTCTTATGTACAATTACTGACCTATGCTTTACAATATGAATGCCTTGTTATATACCCAAACTGTCCATTTCTTTGATTTTCTTTTTCTTTGTTTTGGAGAGGTTTTTGCTAAAGGGTGCATGCGCTCGCCAGACAGACAGAGAGAGACAGAGAGAGAGAAAGCGAGAAATCACCCCCCAGGGGTGATGACCATGCCACAATCATTTCTCCATTCTCCTCTAGGGATCTTGGGCACGCACGCACATGTGCCTGGTATGAGTTTAAGCCACTGGGTCTGGGACTCGAACCGCAGTCAACTACATGGGAGTCCAGCGACATAGCCATTATGCTAACTGCTGGTCCCTCTTTGATGGTTTTGAATAAAGTATTCCCTGTCATAAATGAAAAAAAATGCAAAATATTTTACGTGGATTGAATTAGGATATAACTTATTCCTGAAAGAGCATAATTTTTGTGTAGTAATTGGAAGTAGTACATATAGTCCTGATTTTATGCCTTCAGTGATGGTCCTAAATATATTTGACCTATGAGTTAGACATAATAACATGACAATCTTTCCTATGTTAACATATGTAAATTTTACCTAACATTTTACAGATTCCAGTAAGTCTTTATATTTATTCACTGAATCTGTTTCCTGCCATAGCAGATGCAAAAAGGGTATGAATTCAGCATTCTCCAGTGGTTTAAGATATGGCTTTGTAAATGTATAAAGTTAAGACCACCAATATTTGAGCATCAGCTGACACTGTGGGGTGCTATGCTATTGTAAGACCAGTATCCAACATTTGTGAGGAGGAGGAGGATGACGAACACCATCTGCCAAGGCTCAGTCTGAGGGAATTTCTTCTACACTCAGCTGAAGTGGCATCCACAACCCCCTGGAAATGCTCCAACCCTGTGATTATATTCTGCCTCTCCAAATCAGGCTTCATCTTTTTAATGGAATAATACTTCATTTCATCATGCTTGTTTTAGATACTTGGTCCACTCATTTCAATAATTTAAATAACAGATATCCATCACAATTGTGAGGAGGTATGTAAGGCACAGCAGCTTTCCAGAATTAGGTCCCATTCCAAAGGCTTCTCCCAGCAATCAAACTTAGACAGCCTGCAACGGGTCTGTCAAACCACCATCTCAGTGCCCACAAACTCAGTTACTAGTTTCTCCAGTGCAGTGTAATTGGAACATCGATTTGCCTGAGGGGTAGCACTAGCCCATGGGACTGTGCCTGTTGATGAAGAAAGAAGGAACTACTTTTGCCATACTTTTTTTTTCCTGTTTCACTTCAGAAACTTCAAGTTCTTTGGGTGTTTTCAGGAATATTTTTGAAAGAAGAAACTGCATAATTGAGAAAAATTGTTAGTTGATGCTTAGATGGTTCCATTGGGTGTTATTTCTTCACAGTTACTATGGGAAGACACAGAAGAAACTGTAGATTTAATCCCTTTTATCACTCATTCCATAACCCCTATGTACTTATTAAGTGTGAGGCAATACAGAACATGGAACCATGGATCACATCTGGAATTTGTCTATAAGAAACACGAAACATAATAATTTTACTTTTTATTAGTCTGAGTCAAGACTTTCCTAAAAATCACATTCTACAAGATGTAAAATCAATGCAGAGTTAAGAATCTCAAGTGGATTGGAGTTAGGGCAGAAGATGAACCTTAGGATAGATCTGCTTCAACTGAACTGGACGCATTTCTGTTAGTGGTGTTCTGCTGGAAAGCTGACTATTTAAATGACGTTCAAGTTCAACTGTTTTGTTGTGAACATAAAAATATTTCCAATTTTCAGAGGTGCATTAATTCTAAGTTCAGGACAGCTGTGCACAGTATAACGACTGCACATTCAACTCACGTTGGCACCCTTACATCTTGATGCATCTTGCAATGCATAGTCTATATAACTGTATTTCGTAACTCTGTGAATTCTTCTGGTGAAAATACAAACTTTCTTTGAAAATGATATCTATACCCTTTGATTTAACTATTCAAAGTTTGGGATTTGCAGCCAAACCAGATTTCCATTTTACCGCTGCTGTTGGCAAACTAGATTTTAGGCAATTTCTCCCTATATGATTTGACATTTTTCTACTATAAAATTTCTTTTTTTTTTTTTCTTGAGAGGTTTTCGCTATAGGGCGCGTGCGCTCGCCAGACAGACAGAGAGAGACATAGAGACAGAAAGCGAGAAATCACTCCCCGGGGGGATGGTCACGCCGCAGTCCCTTCTCCTCCATTCTCCTCTTGGGATCTTGGGCACGCATGCACACGCGCCCGGTGTGAGTATTAAGCCACCGGGTCCGGGATGCAAACTGCGGTCAACTACGTGGGAATCCAGCGACATAGCCATTATGCTAACTGCTGATTCCCTCTATTATAAAATTTCTAAGAAAATTCTTTAGTACCCATTTTAATAATAATATCAGTAGTACCATCACCCTAGAAATCCCAACCAGGAAAAATATTTCTGGGATGTTTTTCCCTGGTCAATGATCCTTTAATTTTTTCTTTCTTCATAGCAAAATTTTCTGTTCTTTGTCCTCTGCTTGATAACAAAAACCTAGTTTATATTGCAGATTGAAGACATTTTATGCACTTTATAAATGCTCCAGATAATATATATGCATTGGAAAAATGACATTTTACTTTTCCATTTTTTGGTTGTGATTTTCTTTCAAAAGCAAGGGTGGTTTTTATTTTGTTTTCGTAGTATTTGTCTTCCGACTCTCCATTCAGCTTCAGTTTAAACCCTCCTTTTCTTACCTCTGGGATTATTTTCACCATCAGTTTCCCAGACCTTCTATCAGTACATGCTTCCAAGTTAAAAATCATTCCTCCGTCATAATCTTTTGAGTCATAAGTTGAAAAAAGCTAAGTATAGGTTGGTGTGAAAAGACCCTGCGAGGACAGTTAGTGATATGCTTTGGAACTCTGGGTCCTTTGGAGTAGCGGAAAAGAAATAAAGATACATCTGAGGTCATTCAAGGTAGACGTGGATGGTGATACTTCAAGTGGCTTAATGTACTCTCATTAAGAGTGAGATACAGAATGTCTATTGATGACTCGTTTCCAAATACAGCTTTTTCTCTTAGATGTGTGTGTGCCTTCTTAATGCACATAAATACTCATTTTCCAAGGAGAGACATTAGTTCTTTGTCTAAAGCCCTAAAGAGTATGATAAATCACTTTCTATGTGCCCCATAAGTTGCAAAGCCACCTTGATTTAGTGGGGTTATATTTTCACATTATTATATCGAGAAAATCAGTACCTTTCCTTTTTGGTTTGTTCAAAAATCAGATCCTCAAGAACAAATACAGAGAATATAGTCCTATAATTTCATTATTAGTCCTTAAGATGGGAGTGAGGGATAAAAAAGTTAAACAAAGCAGGAAAGTGACATTTTCTAGATTGCCTTAAGGAGATGACAATCCTTAAGTATAACTGATTGCTCAATGCCATGGGAAAAACTTAAGTTTTAGGATCATCCACTAGGGTGAGAAAGGAGGAAAGATTCATCTGCTGGTTCTCATATCCCACTAGTCAAAGTACCCTGCAGGACGATAATTGGAATGTGTGTAGAGACTAGGTGGGTTTAACAGGGAGACAGGAGGGGGCACTGTGTGGACAAGAGGCATATTCACTGAAGTTCAAGCATGAGTGAAGCATAGAATCCATGTGGTAGTGAGACAAGAAGTTTTAAGGTGGTTCACAGAAGAGTCTGATAACAATTTCTTTCCATAATTGTCACTTTTCAAGTTAAGTCTCTTTGGAAGACAAATTAGAAATTAATTGACTAATATGTCATATACAATCTATTTTTCTCTTTCCTTCCTTCCCAGTTTTTTTTCCAGTTTAGAAAAGAAACATATGTCAGTGTTTTCACACACATACATGCACACACACACACACACGTACTCACGTATGCACAAACAGTATCAAATGGGTTATATGAAAGTAACAATCACCAGGCTAGCTCTGTGGCTCAGTGATAATATGCTGCCCAAGTGATGCTGAATCCATGTGGAAGATCACAGGTCCAGTTTCCAGGTTGATCTGTGCATGCTGGGTTGGGTTGCCACATGAAGCCTGTTGAGGGTGCTTCTCTCTCTCTCTCTTCACACACACACACACACACACACACACACACACACACACCCTCGTAAAAGAAAAAATGCTAAAAAAAGAAAAAGTAACTTACCTCTAGGCAAGTTTTACTCCCAAAAGAAATATTGTTTAAATATTTTTGTTAAAAATAACTTGACTGATTTATCTTTAAATGGCACATTGTTATTGTTTAAAATTCAAACAATAAAAAATATAACAAAGTAAGTTTTTAAATTACTTGTAATCATACTACTGAGAAATGATGATCATTAATGTTAGATTAATAGCTTTCTAAAAATCACTTCAAATAGTTGAGAATGGGTAAATATATAGATGATTACAATGTTGTAAAACAAGAAAAGTCTTACTATACTTTATTAAATTACTACACTTTTTTCCTCAAATTTTACAAAAGAAAAATAAATAGAAATTCATTGGGGAAGTAACATAAATTTAAATAAGTATTTTTTTCTGACCAAAAGAGATACACTTATCTTAAACATTATAAGATTCTTTAGATAAAAACAAAAAAAGTGAAATGCAGTAAGAATTTGCTGTATATTTGTAAAATTGTATGTTTAAATATTTAAGAGAATTATTTAATATTGTTATTATTTTAGAGAGATTTCTGGTGTAGGGCACTTGGGCTTGCCAGAGAGACAGAAAGCAAGAAATCATCCCCCACGGGGGATGGCCATGCCATAATCTCTTCTCTTCCCTTCTCTCAGCATTTTGGGCATGCACGCACATGTGCCCAGTGTGAGTTTAAGCCACCGGGTCC